CTCAAATAAGACCCCCCCCCCATTTTTTTTTTTTTTTCGAGAAACATATTGATTTTTTTTTTTTTTTTTTTTTGAGATTTTTGCTATAGGATGCATGTACTCACCAGAAAGACAGAGAGACAGAAAGCGAGAAATCACCCCCCGGGGGGGATGGCCACACCACAATCCCTTCTCCTCTACTCTCCTCTCGGGATCTTGGGCACACATGCACACACGCCCGGCGTGAGTTTAAGCCACCGGGTCCGGGACTCAAACCACAGTCGGCTACGTGGAAGTCCAGCAACATAGCCATTACGCCAACTGCTGGTCCCTGGATGTAGTTATTTCTGTCAATGGTTTTGCGCTTTACCAGTTGCCCGTTCTTTCCAGACCAGAGCTTGAGCTAGTTATAGATAGCTCACGGTCAGAGCCGTTTCGTTATTCTAACAGTTCAGTGTTCTGGGAAAGTCTCAGAAATGTTCTTCCAGCCTTCCAGACTCTGCTCCTGGCGGCCTGGTGCTGAGGCAGGCGCCGGACACCCAGCTCTCAGTCCCAATTCTGTTTCCTGAGCAGTCTGCTCGTCCCCAGCCCTTAGGGAGCCCCGGCTGCAGTGCAAGCCCTCAGGGAGCCCCGTGCACAGTGTGAGTCAGGCAGAATGGGCCCCGAGATTGCCCAGCCTGGAGCAGCAGCTACACAGGGCCCAGAGCTGGGTGGGCAGCGAGCGCAGGCCTGGCACCGCCTTTGCAGCCTCTGGCTGCTCACTGTCCACCACGCGGGTGGGTGATGGGTGACTATTCCAAGGTGCCTCCGACCCCCTCTGGTCCACACCAGCTGCCCTCTCCCAGCCCTGCCCGTCCCTGACTGCCCAGTCCAGCATTCGGCCACACTTTCCTGGTGCCCGTCCACCCACCACCAGGGGGTGCTGCTCCTCACGGTCGGGTCCCACTGTGCAGCCCAGCGGCTCCACTCTCTCCACTGCCTGCCCCGATACCCAGTCCTCCAGGTCCCTAACACGGAAGGCTCGGGCTGAAGAGCGGCATGTCTCAGGCATCCACAGGCCCGGGCACAAGTCCTAGTCCTAGCGGAGTGAGTCGCCCAGCTTCCCTGGGGACTACCCTCTCTGAGCAAGGAGGCACTAACGGCCACCAGGGCCCGAGGAGCACAGGGCCAGCCCTCTTCTGGAGTCCAGAGTGTCCCTCGGCCGAGTGAGCTGGACAGCCATGTGTGGTGACCCCGAAGCCCCACGTAGAGGCCCTCATTTTGTCTCCCGGCAGG